CCGAGTTGAAATACCTGGACAGACGAACACACACACACACACACACACACACACAAACATACACACAGACAGGGTTGTTGGAATATGCGTTTTTGCAATTTGCATATGTGCAAAAATGCAAAAAAACTGACAATTATGTGCCTGGAGGTCCATGCACCTCTCTAATGCAACACTTTCATCCTAACCGACGCTCTTTCCTCTGCAAGCCGAAGGAGGTTAAAGCACGGTCAGTAATGAATCTAAGCGTTACGATACAGCGCAGGGATCATTCCCGCTGTTAGTGATCTGTGAGCTTAGTGCAAAAACGCGTGATCGTACCGACAGTCCTGATGTGTTCCGGCCTGGGTTGCATATATGCAAATGCAAAACGCATATTGTCAAGAGACTGTGTGTGTGCATGTCTGTGTGTTCGCAGTTTTTGCCACCTACTTTCAACTCTAGAACCAGAAAAGCTAGAACTGAAAATTCGGAATTATGCGCCCACCGCCTCTGCGAGCCTCCCTTTTTATGCATTATTGCATATATGTAAATTGCAAAAAAGCATATTGCAACGACCCCATCTGTGTGTATGTTTGTTTGTGTGTGTGTTCGTCTGTCCGGGTATTTCAACTCGACAATCAAGCAAGCTCCGACGCCAAAATTTTACCAGTTGGTTCCCTGGTCAATTGCCACCCCTGAATCGCTGTACTAACCCCCACACACGTCTGGGCCCTGCGTTCGGGTGTGAGAAAATTTATGCGGGAAAATCGATAACTCCGGAACGAGAAAAGCTAGAACGCTGAAACCTTACGATGACTTACGCTACTCCACAAAGTAAGCATAAAGCACCAAACATTCATGCAGTTGCTTCAAGTTTTGTGCAAAAACGCATGGCCGTGCCGGTAAGCCTGGTGCGTTCCAGCCTGGGATGCATTTGCGTAAATGCAAGAACGGATAAAAATGCATAAAGTGTGTGATGTCTCGCACATAACAGAGCCTCTTTCGTTCGTTTCCTGTCTTTTCAGTGGAGGATACGGTTGATCTCCCTTTTCAACAAAGTTATAGCATTTTTTTATTGCCTTTAGTACTGTTAGTAATGTTTTGTTGTTCAATTGGCAACAAAAACGTGAAGTCTTTTCCAGTGTGCTTTCTAGAGTACAGCTAGAGGGTCATCCTATCCGTTAGCTTTTTAAAAATCCATGTCCTCCAGCTACTGTCCTGAAACAAGCTACTTTCCTGAAACAAGGAGCGGCTTTCGAAGCTGTAATGAAATTTACAGCGACGTAAAATGTTATGAAACAAACACCATATTAAATAAAATTTGGTGTTAGAACTATCAGAATGGAGTTCCTAGAAATCCTAATATGCTGTTTTAAGCTAGGCACAACTATACTAAACGCATTGGTCTTAAGCTGTTAATTCCCATAGTTGCTCCTATATTCAACACATTCGTACACCATCTCTACGAAAATCAGTCAGCAGCCATTTTTCTTGCGTTTGATTGGTCTTCAGTGCCTTCCTCGACTGTTGCGTGGCGCATAGCGTTTTCTGCCCATCAAATTTTGTTTTCTGTCATACATGTGGCGTTGTGTACTTTTTTCAATTAAAAAATATTTGACTGTTTGGCTATTTATTATTCTGCCGTTCTGTTTCATTATCATTTTCTTCAAACGCTGCGCTTTTGGGCCATTTTGTAATTTTTTCATGCACGTTTTTTTAGGTAGTTCTCAGAAATACAGTGAAATGGTCACAGATCTGGAGAATGTCCGGCAGATTATCGATAGTGATGGTACCGATTACGACAATTTAGAACTGACGGTGGCGGAAACGATGTTATTCAAAGCATCATCACCATCGTCATCATCATCGTCAATAGCAACTTTAAAAAATGACGGTAACGATGATCTGGAAACAGAAATGCTTGAGAAAATCTCGTTAGTTTTTCATTTATTAAAAAATGTTAAGACATGAACTGACAGGTTTCTAGAAGTGCATTGTCTGGACGTACTGTTCAATTGTGTCCAAAATGATCACATTATGTTCGAATAATTCAGTTTAGGTATTCATACATGCGAATACTCCCCTACTGAAGAATTTTTGTGCCACAATTTCCACTCACTTGGGCTCAGATTTGCTTTTATTCCTTGTTAATTTACTTTCTTTGTGATTCTGTGTTCTCCCCCTCTCTTTGTTTTCTCTCCGGTTCCTGCCTGTTGATTTCTGACTAGCGTCGTCGTTTCTCTTCCCAGCCGCGTCTTCAATCCCCGACGCGAAAAACATCCTAGCTTCAGCAAATTCCTTGTCGTATCGGTAACATTCTCCCACCTGTCCTTCCCCGTTCCCCCCCCCCCCCCCCCCCCCCCCCCCCCCCCCCCCCCCCCCCCCCCCCCCC